AAAAAAAGATAAAACTGGTCTATTTGGATCTGTTAGATTAAGTACATTATCCTTGGCTGAAATTGATAATCGTTTAAATACATTATCTATACATCTTAGCACTGACTTCTCCAGAATTCTTCATACCTTAAGAAATTGCAATATTTTTAAAGCTACTGAGCTAAGACTTATAATGTTGTATCTTACTCCAGTTCTTTTTAGAGGTATTTTACCAATTGAGCTGTATAACAATTGTATGAGTTTTCATGTAGCAATGAGATTACTTGCATCTCCGATAACTTGCTCCGACAAAAATGGTTATGCACAAAGTTTATTAAATTATTTTTTAGAAACATTTATACTATTGTATGGTTCACATTTAGTATCTTATAATGTTCATTCAATAATCCATTTGCCAGCTGATGTATTACAATACGGATCAGTTGATAATTTTTCTGAATTTTCATATGAAACTTTTTTAAATAGACTAAAAAAATATATGAAATCTGAAAATTCCCACTATCAGAATTAGCTAACAGAATAATAGAAGATAGAAGAAACTCTCTTAGCATATCTTCTAAGAAAATTACCACTCCTATTTTAAAACAACCCCATCAAGATGGGAATATTTTGGAAGGGTATCATGGAAGTCAAATGTATTGGACAATAATATTTCCAAATTTTAAGATTCAGGCACGCCCTGAAAGACTAAGACAAAGTTTTACCCATAGAGATGATTGCATTATTTTACCACACGATAAAGTATTTGTTGTCATAAATATACTATCTAAAAATGATAATATTTATCTTGTTGGTTATTATTTTAAAAATGTAACTGATTATTATCTTACACCATGTGCATCAAGTAAAGTAGGAATATACTTATGTGACACTTATGGATCTATTGAAGTAATTAATTTATCAGAACAAAATACTCCTAAAAAAGCAGCAATAATACCAGCACTTAACCAGAATACAAACCAATACATTGTTTTTTCACTACTTCATGATGTATAAAAAAAAGACTATTTTTTATGAGTTAAATAGTAGTATTATGTATTTATGTATATATGAGTAGTATATATATGCCAATCCTGGCACAGCACCTTTAAGGTGCAGCTCATAATATTATACCAGTAAAAGATCACAAAGAAAACAATGTGCAAAAAGATCAGAAAATTGAAATGCAATAATAATTAAAAACATTTTTCGCAAAACTTATTAAATACAAAAAACCCCAAAAATATTTTTAATAATACTTATGATATTAATAATTAAAATCGAAATGAAATATTTTTTTCATAATACTTATGATATTAATAATTAAAATCGAAATGCAATATAGTGTATTAAAAAATATTTTAAAAGAAATTGAATACCTTAGTTAAAGGAATTGAGATTTATAATAAAAGAATGGAAACTTAAAACAATTATAATAAGTTACAAGAAATCGAAATGCAAAACGAAGTAGAAAACTATATATTAAATAAAAAAATAAAAAAATGTTTTGAGCTTTTGAATATTATGAAAATAATAAAAAAAATAATAAAATATAATCTAAATGAAATTCCAATTAAAGGAAAAATTTTAATCATCGGGAACCGATCAGTACCAACTTATGTTTCTAAATTTCTACAATCACCAACTTGGTTAGAACTTTATAAAATAGCTAATGATCAAATAATTACAAACGGTCCAGATTCATTCAAATATCTCTATAATATTAGTGTAATAAAAACTTTAGGAGATATTAAAATATGTGCTTTTGATATGGCAAAACTTAGAATATAACTATATTATTAATTTAATTTTTTAATAGAATTGTTCTATTGAAAAATGTTCAATATTTAACGGGTATCCGAATTTGACACGCGTTATTAAAATCCAAAAATCTTTGAAAACGATTTTACACTATGATACTATGAGGGGGACTTATAAAATCTTTAAAAAATGAATAAAAAACATTAAACAAAGCATAAACAACATAAAAAAGCAAAAAAACACAAAAAAAGCATAAAAAACATCTAAAATAACATTGAAAAAACATTTTAAAAAAACCGACCTTATATTTTCCTGTTAAAAATTACAAAAATCTAAACAAATCTGTTAAAATTACAAAAAATTTAAACAAATCTGTTAAAATTCAATATCATTATTTTTTAAAAATGTATGCATTTTATTTCTATTTTTAACATGCGTGTGAAATTCACGCGTGTTATTATTGTCACTTAAATCCATGAATTCTAATAAATTCTCAGTTATAAATTTCAGTTTTTAATTATCGTGGCCGGAAAAACAGACCACGATTTTATTGTCACAAAACCACTTAAATTTTAGTTTTAAATGAATATGAATATCGTGACCGGAAAAACCGATCACGATCAAAAATTGATTTTAGATATCAAAAATGTAAGACATTTTAATAACTGAGAATTTATTAGAATTTATGGGTTTTAGTGACAACATTGACACGTGTCCGATTCGGGCGAGCGTTATTAAAATCCAAAAATCTTTGAAAACGATTTTACACTATGATACTTTGAGGGGGACTTAAAAAGAATTAAAATCAAAAATGTTTAATCTAAAAATGAAGATTCTAACATAAATAGCAACGGAGTTATACTTAAATGAAAAATATGAAGCGGGGGTAAACTTTTAATATGTAGTGTAGATAAGCATATAAAACATATCTGTGTTGATCCGACTTGATAATATCAAATATTAAATGAAATATAGGATTTATACGACCGTATTATTTTTAATAATTTTGATGGAAAAAACGGAAAAAAATGCAAAAAATCTACAAAATCATTCCCAGCTTTGCAGATACCCGTTAGGAAAAAAGGAGGCCGGAACTCTTTTACAGATATCTGCAAAGCTATCGTGGGCAGTGAAGTTATCCAAGTGCTTCATTCGGCAGGTCAACGACAGTTTTTCAGTAGATTGCATAGGTGTGTGCACCCACCTATACAATCTACCGTAAACGTCTTCAAAGCCTGATGAAATTAGTAGGTGAATATGGGCGCCACACATTCTAACACTAGTTTCAATCCGACCAAGAACACATTTAAATCAAACGCGTTAACCACTGAGCTACAACACTTGGGCATGTATAATGATTATTTAAACACTATTTAAATAATTCGATAAAAAAACATCATAATATAAACTATACATATATTTTATGATAAGATATTCAATACCGGATGTTAAAAATATAATCAGTCTAACGTTGATATATATACAATATTATTATTATTATTATTATTATTATTATTATTATTGTTATTATTATACTATAATATATAAATATATAATACTTCGTAAGTATTATATTCGATTTAAATTTTTGATGTTTGAAAAATAATTAGTCTAGCTCCATATTCTTATTATTATTCAAATCATGTAATTCCTCTTTTATTAATTTATGTAGTTCGTTTAGTGAAATTTTAAATTCATTATAATTTTTGTTTTTAATAAAACTTAAAATATTTTCGAAACAACAATTACTAATTAAATGGAATTTGAATGATTTTAATTGATTATGTTTTTTGTGATATTAATATTTTAAAAGATTTTCGAAACAGCAATTACCTATTATATGATTCCTAAACATATTACTTATTTCAGAATCAATATCAATATCAGTAGGATGATTATGTATGTTCAGCAGCTCCTCCCCCTTAAATTTTACATGTAAAAGCATAGGCTGCTCTGTATAGGCAATTCGTTGTACAGCCTCCTCCCAAACTTGTATTAATTACTCAATATAGGCAACCCGCTACACACATAAACTCGTCGCACGCCACCCGATCCGACACGTGACCGACATATATTTTACCCCTTCCCCTTAAAATATATTACCTACCCTTTTATTTACCCTTAAAAAAAAAAAATATAATATTCTGATGTACATTTGTTTCGACTATATCAAACACTTGTCCGACATATATTTTACCCTTTCTAATCAAATACATTACCTACCCTTTTAAAAAATATAAATATAATATTCTGATATACATTGTATCGACTATATCATACATACTAATAATATAATATAAGGTAACAACATAACGCATATCTAAAAATATTATCCCTTACTCATCAGTTTTTCATTTCGAACTTATATATTTCCAACACACACACACACACACACACACACACACACACACACACACACACACACACACACACACACACACACACACACACACACACATACACACACACACATACATACATTTTGTATAGTAAGAGATCCGTATGGAAAACTGAACCACGAGAGATCCACCCTAAAAACGTATTATATCTGCACTGGAGTAAATGGAAAATTATTTTTATAATACGTAAACTATGATCCCGAAATAAAATTACAAGAACACTTGATTTTATTTTAAGGTGTCTCCTATCCTTATGAGGTCCAGTGTGTGAGATTATACATTTAGTACTCAATGAGATCTAAAACGTTAAAATTGTTAACATACGAGATCCTTTAGTGTTTCTAATTTTCATTGTGTAGTACTTATTAGATCCATACACTGTTGTCAAACTTCACCAATACACAATTTTGTCAGATGGATCTCACAACATTTATTTAGGTAACTAAAATAATAGTTCTTAAAATAAATAGTTCCAGTGTAATACAAAATATTATCATATCATAAAATAACTTTTTTAATTTTTTAATTAAAACTTAATTTTAATCAGAGAATTTATGACTTATGCCAAGATACAAAATTGTCCTTGTTATGATACTTTAAAAAATATACCATTGAACTAAAATAATAGGGAAAATAATGCCTTACAAACTATAGATCAACTAAGTAGAACCTACTTAGTTTATCTACTAATAACTAACAATATTTATAATAATTGTGAACTGTAGTTAACTTAGTATAATATGTTTGATAACGGCAACAGATAATCCTCCATCGGCACCTATACAAGTTTCTCATTAAGGCTCATTATCTATATTAACTATATAAATAAATAAATAATAATAATAATATTAAAAACAATCTTTATTTTTTCTTTAGTGAATTAATTTTGTTATGTACAAAGTCTTTAACTTTTTTCCAAGGTTTATTTATTTGAGGATGTAACAACACAAATTCTTCACACTCATGTTTTTTAGGTGTTTTACCTAATAGAATATATTTTTTAAAATATGATGTGACTATAACTTTGTCTTCTTCTGACCATGGTATAACAATTGTTTTTTTTATTTTTGAACCTTTTGTTCCTACTTCAATTTGGTTGGGGACTTGTTTTTGTGACTTATCTTTGATAGAAGAATTTGATTTATTTTTATTTAATTTAATAGTTTTAAGATCTGTGGTTTGATTTATATCGATTTCATTTTCTTCATCTGTACAGTCTTCTTCACCAGACAGTAATTCATCCACATCAATATCTATTTCATCCAAACTTTTTCCTCGGTACTCATTTCCTTGTCCTTTTTCCATCATTAATAGAAGCTTACTAACTTTGGCAACCTGAAATTTTTTTTAAATACACATTGTATATTATGTACTATAATTAATATAACAATAAAAATTAACGTATTAAAATATACACCTGTGTTACATGCGGCCCTTCAGGGATCCAAAAGCTGATGTACTTTGATAAATAATAATAGTCAAATTAGTTTAGTAATCAAATGTATTATATTAAACCAGACAAAATAAGCAGAATAGTAGTGTTAATTGTAGCGAATTGTAGCTCGTTCAAGAATTGATAATCTCCGTGTAAGTTGTGTGTGATGGCTGGGTGGCTAAGCGAGTCGTGTGGTGTTCTCGTCTCTGGATACATCTACTCAGGCTGTCTCGCTGTCCCCTATATATATGGTGGCGGCGTCCTTTGAAGTGAGCGGCGCGTGTACACTGTACAGTCGTCCTTGATATGGACCTCACGACTATGAAAGTGGTATTCTTAGTCGAAAACACTTTAGGGTGTGGTCGCATTCCTGGTTGTTTTTATGAGCAAATATATGATATTACGTAATCCCATTACACCTGGAACGCATTGTCAGAGAGTCTGTAATATTCTTTATGCACGTTTACTGAATGTCCCATAAATGTAGATAGTTGTTCAATGTCCCCTTCGGATAAATTCAACAGTTGTGTTGCAGTGGCGACATGTTTCCTCAAACGTGTTGAAGTGATGTTTTCAGGGTGTTGAGCTCCACACTCATCTCCAAATTTACGGATTACATCTGAAGCTCTAACACAATTATTTGGAGACTGAGTTAATGGAAAAAGGTACGGGTTGTCTTTATTAATAAAGCTGACTATTTTTCTTAGTTGCAACAAGTACTGTAAACGTTTTTGTAAGTGAGGTGTAAACAACACTGGTACACCCCTCCCACGTTTACCTCGTATTACAATACGTTTGAAGCTTTTAGTCAATTCTGTTTCCATGGGAGATAATGCCTGCACAATTTCTTTCTGAGAAATTTCTGATATAGAATTTGTGTAGGTATCAAGATGTATTCGCTGAATTTCCCCAGATCTGCGGCGGTTAAGCAAAATTAACTGTGCTAATATACTGTCTTGTAGATCACGATAAGCATGTAAATTTTCTGGATTTACTTTTAATTTGTTATATGACTCATTTTCGATTTTTAACAAATGATTTCTGAATAATTTAATATCAGAAGTAAGAGGTAAGATCGCTGGTTTATTCCATTTTTTCTGTGTAATGTCCTTCAAAGCATTAGAAGATATTTCGTGAGACCACTGTGTTTCTATTAAATATTTCATGTTTTGTACCGCCTTAATATTTTCTTGTTGATTTACATTACCATGTTGTTCTTTTAAAAAAATTAATTCTGCAATTTTACAACATTGTTTCAACAATTGTCCAAGTTTTAAAATTACAGATGGAGATGCATAACTATTTGTCAGTTTGTTATATTTAGCTACTTGTTGAGAACATTTAACTGTGGAATCAAAATATTTTGGAGTAAGACAGTCTTCAAGTGAAAAAATTTGATTATTTTCTTCCTTCATGGCAATTAGGTAACGGGCCAAAGTTCTCATTTTTTGCGAGACTACTGCAATTAAATGTTTTTCCTTATGACTCTTTAAATATCTGGTTCCAAAAGCCTTTATTAAATTATCAGATTTTGCAACTAGAGATATTTGATCAGGAGCCATTCTTGGGAAGACATTTTTTAATAACGGTTCGTCGGTCTCTGAAAATGTAAGGATAATGTTCTGGCCATCTGCCTGAGGTTGATTCCTTGTGTTGGTTTTACTTTTTAAATTTTTACAAATTTTAAAATGTCTATGTAAATATTTTTTTTTGAACATTCCTAGACAATGTTTATATGGTAAATAATCAGTAACGACCGAAGTTTTAGTTTCAAATTCATAAGGACGTCGTACTGGTTTTATTTTAGTATTTCCATCAACATTGAATAAAAAATTTCCTCGCTTCCTTAAAATATCAGCTTCCGTTTTTCTTTCAGCTGAGCCTTTTGGTAATGCCATGAATCGTATAACTTCAATTTCATTGCCATGTTTACGAATTAAATGTCTGGTGAAATTTGTGACGCTATTCTCACAGAATAGGCAATGGTCGACCTTGTCCCAAACTCTTTTATTGGTAATGTTTTTCTTTTTACTTGTTTCTACTACTCCGTTAAAATTAAAATTCCTTGATATAAAAGGTACGGATGATTGATCAGATAATGGAAGCTGTAGATTATCAGAATCATATGTAATTGGTAGTTGTTCGATTTCTGATTTGTGTGATGTGCTTGGAAGGTTTGGATCATTTACTTTAAATTTAATTAGATCCTGTTGTTCTATAATGTCTGAATCATTGCTTTCCATTTCTTGTAATAATGAGCTACTGATTGACAAGTTATCTATATTAGGATTATACTATTCTGATCCAGAGTCTTGTTCAAAACTACTAGAAGACATAAAATCGTTGTCAGATTTTTTTTGTTCACCATAAAATTTACTTTCTTTGTTTCTTAAATCTAAATAAAAATAAAATATTCAATGTAAATTATAACATGTACTATGATAATATGCAGTATAATAAATTAGTTATAATAACAAAAATTACTTGGGAATTGTAAATTAGTGTTCATATTTGATGACTTGTCTAAATACTTGTTTATTTTAAAGTTTGCTATAAAAAAAAAAACAAATAATAGAGTATTTGTAATTTATATTATAAAGAAAGCAAGATGGCGAGATCATGAAAACATGTTACCATTAATACTAAGTCAACTAATAATAAAAAAGATATTATCCGTCAAATACACATATGTACGTAGTTTAGTAAACAGTGCCTAGTGTTAAAAGTATTAAACATGTTACATTGAAAAATAGAGTTTAGTACATAGCATACTGATATTTTTTTATTAACATAACAGAAAATTGCCTCTCAAAGATATAAAAACTAAAAATAAAATAATTTACCTTCTTCATTTAAATGAAATTGATTTGAAGCTGCCATATCAATTTCATTACTGGCTTTATTTTTTTTATCCTCATCATACGTAAGTAACTCATAGTAATCATATGTATCTTCCATATTACTATCAATAATATCAGTATTTTTTGCTGAAAACATTCAATTTTAATAAATTTGTAGGTATCAAAAATATAATGCATACCAAACAGGCAAAAATTAAATACAAATTATAATTTAAACAACATTAGTTTTACCTGTACAATTGAGTTTTTCTATGTATAAGTTTTTAGACGGAGACTTTTCATCACTCATTTGACCAACTATATTAGCATCAACTATAGGCATCTCATTGCCAAAAGCATTACAAGGATATTCTATTTTTTCAACGTTTTCATAATTTATTTCACAACTGACATTAATCGCAGTTTGTTGAGAAGAAATAGCTTTTAAAAAAAATTAGAATATAAGCAAATTTGATAGTAAAAGAAAATTCAAATTTGAGAACAATTAGGCTTAAGATAAATTCAAGTACAAACTTACCTATATTTTTAAACGGTGTCTCTTCATCACTCATTTGACCAACTATATTAGCATCAACCATAGGCATCTCATTGCCAAAAGCATTACAAGGATATTCTATTTTTTCAACGTTTTCATCATTTATTTCACAACTGACATTAATCGCGGTTTGTTGAGAAGAAATAGCTTTTAAAAAAAAATATAATATAAATAAGTAATATCATGTGATATCGATTATGAAACTGACTGACGATCCAGTGTCAAATAAAAAATTATTTTATTCATACCTGTATGGTCAACTTTTTGTATTAAATCAACATTAGCTTCAACTGGAGTTGCCATTTCTTCATCAGCCTCTTTATTTTGATCAATATCATTAATAACATAATTAACAGACACTAAGTTGCCGCCCGGAGTTGGATGCTGTCCTTCAGTGATTTTATACATATTTTGTTCATCAACAGCAACTTTTTTACTATGCTTAGATGGTAATACTATGAACACAGAAATGAAAAAATAATAATATAAATAAGTAATATCATGTGATATCAATTATGAAACTGACTGACGATCCAGTGTCAAATAAAATATTATTTTATTCATACCTGTATGGTCAACTTTCTGTATTAAATCAACATTAGCTTCAACTGGAGTTGCCATTTCTTCATCAGCCTCTTTATTTTGATCAATATCATTAATAATATAACTAACAGACACTAAGTTGCCGTCCGGAGTTGGATGCTGTCCTTCAGTGATTTTACACATATTTTGTTCATCAACAGCAACTTTTTTACTATGCTCAGATGGTAATACTATGAACACAGAAATGAAAAAATTATAATATAAATAAGTAATACATATCACATAATTTATGAAACTGACTGACAATCCAGTGTCAAATAAAATATTATTTTATTCATACCTGTATGGTCAACTTCCTGTATTAAATCAACATCAACTGGAGTTTCCATTTCTTTACAGTTTTTATTTTGTTGTCTACATTTTTTCTGGACATTTAGGTTCTGAGTTTTTGAAAAGATGCTAAACTTTTCACCAATTTTACATAAATAATGTTTTACATTTTCTTCAGCTTAAAAGAAAAATTGAATATTACATTTACTTAAAAGTGCCATAATTGATGATCATAATTAAAATTGAATAGGGATAGAGTTGTACACAAAATAAATAAAAAGTTAATCACCTATAATATGGATGGTAATAATAATAATAATAAGTTATAGGCAATAAAATAGAATGAAGTAATAATTATTAACTTACATCCTTTACTTAAAAGTTTGGCTTTGTATTTGTAACCATCTTTCCACTCAATCATTGAGTATGATCCAATTTTCATAATTTGGTTAGAATTGTTTGGGCACATGTATAATATATTGTCATCCTTAAAACGGACTGCTAACCATTCTGTTATGAAAAAAATAAATATTATAGTTGTAATATAGTTGTTAACCCAAATGTTACATATTATCTACTCATAATTTTAGATGATAATAAATAAAAATAGTCAAGTGTATGGCATTGCATACTTTCAATTATAACAATTGAAGCAGCAAAATGTATTTAGCTAACTTCAATCATTAATAAGCTCAGTTAGTAAAACAATAAAATATTTAAATTCATATAAATAGAAACATTTATAGGTATTGTTTAAAAAAAAAATTTGAGCGAAGAAAATTGTTACACACCTTGGATTTTTAATGATGTGTAATTTTTTTATTAGGTAGGAGGTATGTAGTGCATTATTACTCCAGCACCTTTTCTGGTAGAATTTTACATTTGAGTGTGCCCAGCTTTTTCTAGTTATTTTTTTATAATATATAGGGGAGGCTATAATCAACTTCACACGCTTTATGCATTTTGTTTAGCATATAATTTTGTTACATAAGACAGTAGGTATATAAAATACACAAAAGTATTACAAAATATTTAAAGTTAGTATTCAACTATTTATACTTTATTAACCTATACCCTATAATCTATTATTGCATACTATTTGTCTATATTATATATTATTTCTATTGGATATATACAAAATTGAATATACCTACATCAATGTACTACATATCGCCGTTCCGGTAGAACAATGACGCAACTCCAAAATTTGGTATAAATGGCCTAAATGCTACAATGAGTTTAAATATAGCGTACGCATAATGTAGAAAAACGGCGGAACTGTAGTTGTATTTTAGACCTCCAGAGGGCAATTGCGTCGTTGCGGAATTATGAGTTTGTACACTCATAAATAATTAACAATTTAGTTTTTTGGGTTTCCTGTAAAATTGCAATTATTGCAGTTGCGTCATTGTTCTACCGGGACGGCGATATGTAATACCTATGTACCTACCTAAGTACCTACCTATTGATAAAAAATAATTTATTGTTTTGTTTGTACCTAAATATATTAAATATTAAAATATTATTTTGTATTTAGTAATAAGTTTAGTAATAAGTACACTAGAGCAACACTAGTGACTAGTTATAATTTTACTTTGATTATTATACAATACATTATTTATCGTAATAATTGTATTTACTTGTAATTTTAAAACAATCATATTTCAAATGACGGAATATTTTTTAATTATTTTATAAGTCAATTGAAATACGAAAGTATTATAATATTTTGTTAATCATCATTATTAGCACTGTATTTGTTTTTGAGAAAAGGCAATATTTTTATTTTTAAAAATATTTTTTATGTTTTTTAGTTGTTCGTGTCGACGACAATATTACATTGAATATAATTTACCAATTACGATAAACATGTACTATTCAGTGATTAAAAATCTAAAATTCAAACTTCGTTAATAATGTAAAATAACGATTGGTAAAAAAGACATGTAGGTGGTTATTATTTTTGGAACTTTTTGAACACTTGCCGTTTTACTTACAAAAACTAAAATTAAATTAATCTGTATTAGTTTAATTTATGTTTTTAATTGGATTTTTTTTTATTTTAGGATGTTCTTTTGGGTCCGCCTACGATGGACACAACGGGCAGTGCTTGAATTGGAAAAAAAATAGAAGGGGTATGCAAAAGTATAAAACATTTGTGCGTCCCCCCAACATTTAAATGTCTTATCAACTCTTGAAATTAGAAGGGGTACGCTAAAATATTTTAAAAATAGAAGTTGGACTCCGTCCCCCTGCGTCCCCCCCAATTCAACCACTGACAACGGGGATATAAGGTGTTAAAAAGTAAAAACATAATATGTGAAGCCGGGATCTCACAAAGCGTGGGGTGTGTTATGCGCGTTGGGTGTTTAGCACCGTACAGCTGCGCGACTAGCTGTGTGTGTGGGGCGTCGCGTCGTGTCTTCGAGGCGCCGAAGGATATCACGATACAAACACGTTCCCCGCAAGAAGCGACGTCGTGGGATTCCAGCTATAGAAATCTAAAATCACAGATTTTTACACAAAACCAGTTTTTGAAAAAATCAATTTAAATTGTTGGTGTAACTCTAAAAAAAAATTTTGAGATTTTATTTGTATATAAATTATAAGCACAAGAAAATTTAAACCTATTAGTTTTTTTTAAAACTATTGTCAATAAAAACATTTTTGCTTAGTCAAATAACTTTGACAATTAGGTAATACAAGGATCCTAATAAGTTGTCAGTGGAAATTAAAAAAAAAAAAACATTCGCTTAAATCCAAGATATATTTTTATAAGTGTCAGAGCAGTAGAGCTCATCAGTCATAGGCGAGTGGCGAGAGCAGACCTAAGCTAACAAACGCCGTTTGTCAAACGGGTATTCAACTTTAGTCCTAACAAATGACCTAATGTTTTGAAAAGTTCATAGTAGGTACTGCATATTTGTTTAGTTAAAGTTTTATGGATAAATACCTGTGTATAGGTTATAAAATAAAAATATATCTGACTTACCTACGTAGTCACAATTTTTCTTTTCCATTTTTCCTCTTCTTGTACCCATTACGCATTAGGTAGGTATATAACAAGTTTCGATGAAATTAAAATGATCAATATAAAAAAATTAAAACACTTGATGTTGGTACTTAATGAAAAATATAATTAGTGAAAGTAAATGGTGACTAATTATAGATGATAAAATTATAACGTGCATCACACGCGGTGTGGACGACGACTGGTAACGATTTAGAATTAGAATACTAGATGTCTAGATTATGACGGATTATGACGAAGATAATAATATTTTTTATTATAAATCGAACACAATATCCCATATAGTAATACTAATATAATATGGACATTTGGTGGGAGGGTTCAGGGTATGAATAATATCGCAAACAAAAACTTTGCCGAATAATGATTGGTCGACAACCAACTGCGTGTCTCGACGTGTCGACGACAACCGTCAAGCATCACTTTGGGAATCCCAAATTCCCACACACAAATCTGTAAGTTTCGTAGCATGAGAGATCCGTATGATTTTTAGGGACACACACTCCTACATGAAATTATATTATTATTAATCACAAAACGTATCTTATGAGATCCATGTTTTTTTTTAGAATTTGATATAGAGTTAATTTGTAGAACACGTTAGAGATAAGATATGGAAATGTGCAATATTACATTTACGTATACTTACCTACTTATATTTTTAATTTTATAAAATAAAAATATATTTATATTATCTTTGTGAGATCCTAAAATTTTTTTCTTCGTTCTAACCTTTATGGAACTCGTAGCGTATAGAACGTAGTATAAGAACGTATATTAGCATGTTAAATTTCTGTCCTAAAAATTATTGGGATCTCGCTTGCCACTAAATTTAAATATGTGTGTGTGTGTGTGTGTATGATTTAATTTTTTCATTTCTATTTTTAAATAATACTAGGTATTCTAAAATACTATAATTACAATGTATTGAATTATGCATTTCGTAAGGTATGTTTCGTTAGGTATTGAGAGTAACATTTTTATAGTGCATTAGTACCTATACTTATATAGGTAACCAGAGCCATGTTAATCAATTCAGCGCCCCGGGCCAAAATTTCTTTTGGGGCGACAGGTATCATATTAAATGCAAATAAAGGCGCCCCTTACTTTTACAAAACTAAGGCGCCTGGTGGCAATTTCCCCCTTTGCCTGCCCCTTAACACAGCTCATTGACTCTTAAAATACATTTCCAAATTGTCCTATTGTATTCTATAAAATTACACTTATCCACAATGTCAGTATTCATGAAGTTATTAAATATCTGATCGACTACTGAGGTACATACCTAATATATCTTATTAAACTCTGTAACAACAGACACTACAAAGTGGCAATTGTACATTAATTTTTTATCAGTTTTATGCAATATTTTGTGTATTATACTCAAAACCAAAGCACTCCTTATAAGATATATTGTATTCATAATACCACAAAAGATCCAGACATAAATTATTTTTACGTAAAAAAACTCGGAAATAATCTAAATCAAATCTGTAACAAATAAAACAATTTCCATACGAGATCCATGTTTTACAATTAAATCAATTTATAAAATAGTAAAATACGGTATTCAATGAGTTGTGAGATCCATCTATAATATTGGCGTCCAAAACGCCACCGCGGCCGTATAACTAATCACGGGTTATCATGTAAACTAAGTCCCTAACCATACGAGATGAAAGTTTTTACATTAAATCTATTTATAAAATACGAAAATAAGATACTTAATGAGTATTGTGAGTTCCGTCTATAATATAGGTTAGGTTAGTTGTCTAAAACACCACCGTGGCCATCCAACCATTCACGGGTCATCATGTACCATATGAGATCCATATTTTTCTATTTATTAAATCCGAGTAAGTTAATTTAAATAATGTGGATCTTACAGAGTACTTTAGCTACCGTGCGTGGGTGAGATTGTTTATATGATATTTTTAACGGATCTCATAACAGATAATGTCAAAAAATAAATCGATTTATATAATGTGGATCTCGTAGAGTATCTTAGCTACCTAATATGTGTAAGCTTGTTATTCAGATATATTTAAAAGGATCTCGTAACGAATATCGAAAAATAAACCAATTTATATAATGTGGATCTCGCACAGCACTTTGGCTACCTACCTCGTGTGTGTTAGATTGTGAATATGATGTTATATTTAAATGGATCCCGTAATGAATATCGAAAAATAAATCAATATACATATAATGTGGACCTTGCAGAGTACCTACTTTAGCTATACGTAAAGTGTGCAAGGTTGTGACTTGTGAATATGATATATTTAAACGGATCTTGTAACGAATATCGAAAAATAAATCTATTTATAAACCTAATGGGGATCTCACAGAGTATTTTAGCTACCTACTATGTCTAACTGTGTAAGCTTGTTATTCAGATATATTTAAAAGGATCTCGTAACGAATATCGAAAAATAAACCAATTTATATAATGTGGATCTCGCACAGTGCTTTGGCTACCTCGTGTGTGTTAGATTGTGAATATGATGTTATATTTAAATGGATCCCGTAATGAATATCGAAAAATAAATCAATATACATATAATGTGGATCTCGCAGAGTATTTTAGCTACCTACTATGTGTAACTGTAAGCTTGTTATTCAGATATATTTAAAAGGATCTCGTAACGAATATCGAAAAATAAACCAATTTATATAATGTGGATCTCGCACAGCGCTTTGGCTACCTCGTGTGTGTTAGATTGTGAATATGATGTTATATTTAAACAGATCTCGTAATGAATATCGAAAAATAAATCAATTTTTATACTTGATGTGGATCTCGCAGAGTATTTTAGCTACCTAGTGTGTAAACTGTAAGCTTGTTAATATGATAAGTTAAAATAAAAGTGAATAAAAATTAAAAAGTGCGTATACGACAATAGGTTCCTTACTCAGTTTATATATTGCCTATAAACAGTGGCGTATTGAGGTCCGTGTAGTACATATTATAATAGTATAACACGATACTACCCAGTACCTACTTTTATTATACTGTATAATGTATGCGGGGTCGATGATCGCCCACCTTGTCGAGGTGACCCCGCCCGACCGGGCTTACGCCCGGCGCTAAGAGGCGTTCAAAAACTGTCCGGAGTAGACCGTCTCCGGACTTCTAACCCCTGGCATGGATAATGCAACTGCCGATCTAGCCCGCCGGCGGCCAGAGGGTATAGGGCTACACGGGGCAACCCCCCATCTAACAAAATGAAAATACACCAACAAACAAAAAATGATGATGCCGGCACAGAGGCCCAGGAAACCTCAGGCCCGGCAGGTGTGGGTGAGCTCGCCACACAGGTCGTGATCAGTAGCTCTGGTTATGCGAAAATGAATACGGAACGGCTAAATAGGATTATGAAGACAACGGATAGTGTACTGAGACTCAGAGGAGGAGGAGACTCCGAATCTGATGATGGCACAAATGCTAATACGAGTGGTGCGATGGCAGTCGATCAAGGGACTAGTAACAACCCAGCAAAGGCGAAATCGGCTAGTGTCGATAACGTGGCTTTGTTAAAGAAGTTAAATAACCACATTGGGTTTATAGAACAGACGGTCATAAACGAAAGGACCAAGAAACTAACTGCCGGGGCTGCGGACGGCATTAGCGCCAGGCTTAAAAACATCAGAGACATCCATACGGAACTCTGCATGGAGAACAGCCGCCTCCAAGGCGTTACGCAGTTCAGTGCCGCTGAACTTAAGGGTTTGATGGACACGTTCTCCAAGGCGCATAAAGAAAAAAGTAAGGAGATAGAGGAACTCCGCCTTGAAAACCTCGTGCTTAAGGAAAGTTTGGAAGAGCTAGCCAACAACTATGGATCCAAAAAAGTAACCTATGCTGATGCGACAAGCAGCGCAATTAAAAGCGTTTTTAGCGCAGAAGATGCGCCGGGACCCGTTGCTCCGCCAACAACGGCGAAGGGTACCAACAGAGAAAAGCCCAAGACCAAGGCTTCTAAGAGAAAGGCACTCGACAAGTGCCGCCAGTCGGCGGTGAAGACTCGCTTTGTGGTCGATGTGCCCGAAAATATGACGGTAGCCCAAGTCAAGTCCGACCTATGGAAAACGGTGCAAAAGAAATTGCCAAACCCGAGGGCCAAAACCGTAGTTCAGGGTAAGACGATCATCGTCGTCCCGGATGACAAAATCACGTTCGAGGTGTTAAACAGGGTTCCGAACATCAGGTCTGTTGGGCCCAGGCAGCCCAGAATAATAATTTACGATGTCGATGACGACATCAGTGGCGAAGAAATAGCCCACGGAATAATGGAGCAAAATTCAGAGTTGGAGCTATCGCAGGACGACGTCGAGTGCTTGGTCGTAAGCCATAAGACGGGCCCGAGAGGGAAAGGCACCTCCCACTGGGTACTTGAGACGCCGCCGTGCGACCTCAAGAAACTAGAGAATAGGTAGGTTTTCCTTGGAATGACCAGGTGTAGAGTTAAGTTATACCAAAATACAGTGCAATGTTTTAAATGCCAGAGGTACGGACACACCGCGACGAGGTGTAATCAGGCTGAGTCCACCTGTAAGCACTGTGCTGGTCCGCACGACAGCCGCGAATGCAGCGACAAATCGAATAAAAAATGTGCAAACTGTAAGCTGGCACATCAGGCCTCTAGCTCGGTGTGCAAGGCCAAAGAACAGGCACTTAGAAGCCTCTTAAGGCGCACGGACTTTGGCCAGCAATGACCGAGACCATAAAGTTCGTACAGCATAATGTCAATCGACAGAAAATAGCGAGTCAGCAGCTAAGGGATTATTGTGACCGAACGAAAACTGACATTATCCTACTACAAGAGCCCGTCATAGTAAACGGTAAAGCCTACGCCTTTGAGAACTGCAGGCAGGCAGCGAGCGGCGATAACCCGGGCGCGGCTATAATAATCCTCGACCCCAGACTGCGGGTGATCGAGATGGCAGATCTGTCCAGTCAACATGTTGCGGTTGTGAAAATATCAAATGACAGCGATATCAATGCAGTCACGGTGGTGTCGGCATATTTTAAATACAACATGCCGACCCACAACTTCACGGTGAAGTTGAGGACCGTACTCGAACGTGAAAGCAAGACCATAGTTGGAGCCGATGTGAATGGACACTCGCCGCTCTGGCATTGTGACAATACCAATGACCGCGGAAGACAAACCGTTGAACTGATTGAGGATTTTAACCTCGCAATAGTCAATCGGGAAAGCGAGATTAGAACGTACAACCGAGAGGGCATGGGCTCATCGAACATCGATGTAACCATCGCAACACCGCAAACCGCGAACCTGGTGCGGGACTGGTCGGTTATGGATGTAACCGACAGTGACCATAACGTGCTGTCATTCTGTATTGACCTTAGGACAGACAGAGTGCCGAGAGAGGTCTCAAACCGTTATAATACCAAAAAGGCTGACTGGGCTAAGTTCGTCACACGCCTGATCGACCGTAGAGCCGAAATTGACAGATCCAACATTGACACGTATGCTCGGACGCTAGTCGGCATAATTCAGGGTGCAGCCGCGGACTCTATGCCGAAAACAAGCACTGCCGGCCGGAGGCCAGGCAAACAGCCCTGGTGGACACCTGAACTCGCCACCGCCAAAAAGGCACTTGACCGCATGAGGAGAATGGGGCTCCATAGATCTGATAGACAGACTTACATTCAGGCACGAAATGCATATGTAGCCCTCATCAGAACCGCTAAACTAGAAGCGTGGCGCACCTTTTCTGGCGACATTAACACCAACACATGGGGAAAAGCGTTCAGCTGGGCGAAGAACGGTCCCAGGTCCAAGAAAGTCCCCTCCACCATGGCTCGCCCAGATGGAGCGTTGACCGAAACACTGGATGAGACGGCGGAAATACTGTTGGGCTCCTTCTTCCCGAGAGAGGGGCAAAGAAGAGTCTTCGATAAGAGTGGGCCGATAGATGAATACGGTGGCACGGTAGACTTCGAGAGAGTAAAATCGGCGATTTGGAGAATGCACCCAGGAAAAGCTCCTGGAGCCGACGGCATCACAGCAGGGATTTTAAGAAAGGCATGGCCGATCCTCGGTGAAGACATTGTACATCTCTTTAGGATGTGCATTACCGAAGCCAACTTCCCACAGTCGTGGAAATGTGCTAAATTAGTTGTACTGCCTAAGCAGGGGAAAAAGGATTTCACGAACCCCAAATCATACAGACCTATCAGCTTGCTGCCAACAATGGCGAAGGCACTGGAAACGCTGATAATTCAGGACTTGGTGTTAGAAACTGATCTAAATAGTCACAGCCAGCAACATGGATTTGTGCCAGGCAAATCAACCATCACGGCCATGAAGTCTCTGTACGAATGGATACACAATAGCAATGGCAGGCACGTGTTTGGGGTGTTTCTGGACATCACCGGGGCCTTCGACAACGTCGGCTGGTTCCCGCTGCTGTCCAGACTCGACGCACTCGGCGCCTCGCTTAGAACGATAAGACTTATTCAGAGCTACCTCAAAAATAGGACAGTAAGCCTCGTGATCGAGGGAAAACGATACCAGAGGACAATTGAGCGAGGATGCCCACAAGGGTCCCAGCTTGGTCCCACATTGTGGAAGGTTGCCATGACGGAGATTGGTAACATACAGCTGGACAGCACGGCCAACATGGTGCTGTATGCGGATGATATTGCGCTAACGGTAGCAGCGGCGAGGCCTCAAACGGCACACAACAGAATTGAAGGATACCTTGATAGCCTGAAGGTGTGGGCGAAGGAATACGAGTTGGAGTTCTCGCCGGCAAAAAGTCAAATACTTAGCCTAAAAGGAGGTTTGAAGCCAGGCTACTCAGTAGGCTTTGGCTCAGGAGATGATGATGCCAGGATCGGGGCTAAAGGGACAGCGAAGTGCCTGGGCGTCACACTGGACCCCAGAGAGAGCTTCTGGGACCACATATCGTCCCTCAGAACAAAGTCAGAGGGCATGTACCATAGACTCCAATAGATGACGTAAGCAAATTGGGGCATGGGCCGAGCAGCGGCCAGAATCATCTATGAAGCGGTCTTCCTCCCCCGCATAACATATGCGGCGGAAATCTGGGCAGAAAACGGGTGCTCCCTTAAAAAGAGCATTGCAGCCCTGTTAAGTATGCAAAGAGACCCACTTAGGGCAATTACGAGTTGCTATAAAACTGCGTCAACCAACTGCCTCTCGGTGCTCATTGCTGTAATGATAGAAGAAGGGGTGACTTGGCCCCCAGACAGTGGAGCCTTTCTTAGCTCTAGAAGAACATATGAAGCTCTTAGAAAATTCAGCAAAGACAGTCTGACGAACAGAGATGATAGGTAGGACCTATATGGGTCAGGGCGCAGCAGCACCTAACTGGTGTATTGCACAGACTCGGGGTTACCCGGGTGAGCAAGCACGGAGAAAGCGGCACGAGCGGCGGGTTTCGCTCGAGCGCGTCCTGACCCGGGGCGAGCTCACGCGTCTGGGACGAGGAGTACGGCCCAGTTGCTGGGGCCGTCTAGAATTCAGCATCAGTATTCCCTGCTGGTCGTAAGAGGCGACTAAAAGGGAAATGGCCAGTCGGGGCCGGCGTCCGGTACGCGGACACACCGAAACCTCCGGCTATGTCTAGCTATCAATCATCGCTGTATGCAAATCTATGAGTTATAGGGCATGTGTGTATGGCGGATTGGATGCATGACCCGTCGCATGCAAGATGTAAGTGAAAAAACGGGAAAATTAAAAAGAAATTAAGTCGTACTACAGCTGCCGCAATTGTTGAGTGTCTAGGAAGTCAGTCACCCGGCTCGATTTTGAGCGTAGTCTGGCAGGTAGGCAATCCGATTTTTTCTTATAGCGGACGACGTGCAACGTCGGGTAACATGATGAGGCATGCAAACCGAAAACTGTGACTGAGTGTCAAGAGGTCTCTCCTCGTCTGGTGCAATACCGTGCCCCGCTGTATGCCCGGTTAGGTTAAGTATGCAAATCTATGAGTTATAGGGCATGTGTGTATGGCGGATTTTATACAGACAACGCATGCCCTGTTCTGTTGTGCGTGCAAAAAGGATAAATGCATAACGAAAACGGTAATTGTGTGTCTAGCTTTCAGTCCACGTACGTTTCCCCAGCCCCCCACTTATCAATTTTCCCAAATTTTCTTTTTCCAACATTTAGTACGTCATTTGTTTGTATTTCTTTGACCAAACTCAGAATTTGTTTGATGTCGGTTCCCCTTGGAAAATCGGTTTTCCGTGCGGGGGGCTGCAGAAACGTTTCCCCAGCCCCCCACCCCGTTAATTATTGACTTTTCCCAAATTTTCTTTTTCCAACATTTAGTACGTCATTTGTTTGTATTTCTTTGACCAAACTCAGAATTTGTTTGATGTCGGTTCCCCTTGGAAAATCGGTTTTCCGTGCGGGGGGCTGCAGAAACGTTTCCCCAGCCCCCCACCCCGTTAATTATTGACTTTTCCCAAATTTTCTTTTTCCAACATTTAGTACGTCATTTGTTTGTATTTGTTTGACCAAACTCAGAATTTGTTTGATGTCGGTTCCCCTTGGAAAATCGGTTTTCCGTGCGGGGGGCTGCAGAAACGTTTCCCCAGCCCCCCACCCCGTTAATTATTGACTTTTCCCAAATTTTCTTTTTCCAACATTTAGTACGTTATTTGTTTGAATTTGTTTGACACGAACCAGAATTTGTTCGACATCGGATACCCCGGAAAATACGATTTTCCTGTGTGGGGGCTGAGGAAACGTTTCCCCAGCCCCCCCACATAAGAAATAATGGACTTTCAGCGAATTTTTTTTTACCAATTGTTAGTACGTTATTTGTTTGAATTTGTTTGACACGAACCAGAATTTGTTCGACATCGGATACCCCGGAAAATACGATTTTCCCGTGTGGGGGCAGAGGAAACGTTTCCCCAGCCCCCCACATAAGAAATAATGGACTTCCAGCGAATTTTTTTTACCAAATATTAGTACGTTATTCGTTTGAATTTGTTTGACCAAATTCACTATTCAGAATTTGTTTGATGTCAGCATGCCGCGGAAAATCAATTTTTAAAAACAGTATTTATATAATATCGATATATTTATATTATATTGTTGAAACCTGATAAAAATTAACACAATTTTTATTTTTATAATATACATACTAATTTGTGTTTATTTAATGTTATATATATATATATATATATATATATTATTCTCGTTATTGATATTATAATATGTTTAATATTAAATTTACCACGGTTTTAGAACATTTTAAAGTGAATTTCGTGAATCATCTTATAATATAGTTCCTATTTTGCATATAATAAAAATATTTTGCATTGTTTATAATTACATTGACACAAAAAAAATTACTTAACATTATATGTAATAAATACGTGTTTTAGGAAAAGCATCCAATAGGTGTTCAGTTTTTGTGTACAAATACCTATACTATATCTATGGGTTAGTGAATGATGTGAACAAGACATAGAAGTATACTACTGAGTGTACTAACTTCCCTAATATCTTGTATACTTGAAACATTAAATATTTCTAATATATAACAACTATAAAAAGAAATTTGACTTTTAGTCATCCATTACCTTGTATGATCAATTACGCATTTTTTTTACTAACGCCAAAATTACTTAGTGACCATAACAGTTTTGTAATTGCATGTCTAAGTATATTATTATTTAAATAAAGTTGAATGTGTTAATATACCTATTGACTATTGCAGTTTATACTATCACCAGATTTTATTTTTAGAAATAATGAGCTATATGTGATATACTGATATTGTTATATTAATGATCAACCCAGATTTTGTTTGTTTATTTTTACCATACATTTTGATGGCAGATTGATACTATTATTAGTTATTACTTATTACTTACTGCATGGTTATTGGTTGTTTTTTTTTCGTACAAAATATGTAAACATTAAAATGGTTTTATTTATATCTGATTTTGGAAATAGCTAATTTGTATTACCTAATAGTATTAATCATTTAACGGGACTCATTGTGACTTGAACGTTGTGCACTCGTCGTTTATGAAAGGTTATTTTCTAACTCTTTTTATATTATAATTTAATAAAACATTTTGACATAAGTCATTTTTAATAATGGTTGGGCGAAAACCAGCAATACCTCCAGTGACGATAATTGAAGGTATTTTGGAATTTAAAGACAAAATCGTTTTTAAAAATGATGATGGCGATCAAAGTAAGTATATTTTCTATTTTTTAAAATCTTTATTAGTTACTAGTTAGGTATATTATTGCATTATTGATTATATATTGAGATTATAATGATTGTTTTTGGTTGAGTACCTACTAGATGTCTCAATGAAACACGTGTTTTTCGCACCCGTGTCCCTTGTATCCGTGACACGGATACACGGATATATAATTTGAGTAAACACGTATTTCATGTGACTCGTGAATTCCGTGATTTATATTCACGTGATCCTCGATTCATCTTATTACCTATTAAATTTTTTATTGGTTTTAACAATGACTATAGTTGGATTAGATAGATATTACCAATATACCCAATTTAAATCAATTCATTTTAATGATTTAGAAAATAATACAGAAGAGTTAAATATATTATGTAGGTATTCTATTATCATTATATCTAAATAATATATGGTACCTATATACATTTTTATACCTATATAGCTATATTATATTTCTATATTGCTATATCGCACTACTGCAAGAATAGTGACACAACTCAAAATTCTTGATTTTCGGGTTTTCATTGATTCTAATAGCCTGTGCTCTGCCTCTGCTCTTTATTTTAGTTTATGTGATTAAAATATGTTATTTCACTCGAACTGACTTAAAAACTGTAATACGTCACTATTCTTGCCGAACGTTTTCATTAATTTCGTGCAAGAATAGTGTCACAACTCAAAATTATTTTTTTTTTTTGAGTTGTGACACTATTCCTGATTCACTTGACACAATATTATGTACAGCAAAACGACACATTATTGTATTATAGTTTTACAATAATTTTTATTCAGCACTAGTGTGGAAGCTTGTTAATGGTGGGTAGTGAGTAGTGACTCAGACATATTATTATGACGTAGTATAAGACGTATATTATGTAATATATAATATAATAGGATTATTATGTAATCCTTATCTTCAATTGCGTGAATTTAATTTTAAAATCCTATAAATAGAATCAGATATACTATTATTATTACAATAATATTATGAGGCATACTATCATAGATTTTGTATTATCAACATCTTGATAATCACAACTTAATCTACAACTTATTACTGTGGTCTATGATAGTATGATCTAAGCTTTGCATGCAATTTAGGTATAACCACTAATAATTGTGGTATAAAACTATAAACGCAAGTGACAAATGATAATATTATTCAAATAAAAAGGCTACTATTGTATCATACATTGTTCAATTATAATAACATTATATTTCAAATAATAATTATATGATTTCCTTGACTATGTTGTACATTTAGTATATTTATGTATCTGTACTTATTATAAATCTAAATTATCCACTTACGATTTTACTATATCTGATATTGTGAGAAAAGAATCATTTTGTTATGTTTGGAATGAAGGTGAATCAAAAAAAGGAGTAACTGAAATTGGAACATCTATAATACAATTTTTACAATCTGAATGTAACATTGGAAAAACTGAAGTAATTTTTTACTCAGATAACTGTGCTGGGCAAAACAAAAATAAATGTATAACATCATTATACTTGTATGCCACTACAAATATGGATATTGATTCGAAAACTCACACATTTTTAGTAGTTAGTTAGATAGGGGCAATCACCCCCCTTCTAAAATTATAATTTATTATTAATTTATAAGTTTAATATTACATTTCAAATTTTATATTGTACTATAATATTGTCAAAATTAAAAATTGTGTTTCCTATATGGCTATATTCACACTAATAAATATTATTAAAATATATATATTCAAGTTTTTTTTGCCATCCAAAATTTTTTTATCGACATTTCAAAAATAAATTCTCAGAATAATCGAAAATTTCAGTGGTCTATAAATAGCTCAATAAAATTTGAAATATTTTTAAAAATTAACTGTATATAGATAACACTAATATAAACATTCGGTGAAAATTTCAAGTATTTACAGTGATTAGTTTTTGAGTACAACCATATAAAAAAATCGATTTGGTCGAAAACTGGTTTTGCGTAAAAATTACAGTTTTTCCGTTACTTTTTTTTTTGTTTTTCTTGATTTTTTTGAAAACTGTCGGAAAATATTTAATTTTGACCTGTATAATGCACCAAGGATATTCGCTTTTATTTCG